CAGAGGCCAGCAACAGAAAGTTTCAACAGAATTTCATCACTAAATCCACTTCTGAGAAGTTTTGAGGTGAGAAAACAGCTGTGTAGATTTCAAATATTGACAGTTTTACGAGAAGTGATGGCGGAACAAAAATGTGCTTGAATATTTTCCAAGTTGAGGAGCTGGCTGCAGGGGACGCCTGTGCCAACTGCCGGGAGGAGCTTGTGAGGTCGGCCAGCCGCCCGCTCACAGAGCCCTCTGTTCCCGCCGTCACACAGACCGCTGCAGCAACAACGGCAGAGGAAAACAGCTGGAAGGTTTTCATACCGCTTATCTGTCTTTACATTCTGAGGAATGTTGAAACGTTTTAACTTAAAAAAAAGAAAGCTGTGTGGATCGCTACTATCTCTGGGTACTGTCTGCAATGGAAAACGGAGCAGGGCCGAGTACAGTCCAGTCTATCGATTTGCGCTATGGTAGCATTTTTCGGCAAGGCAGCATAGATTTTCAGAACACCGGCAACAGTTCAATGTTTAGTCCTAAAAGACGATGCAACTCTGACTATGTTTGGGCCTGGAAATTCACAATCACAACCGTAAGTATGCTTTATTGGTTGTGAATTATATTTAAAATAAACACGGCAATGTAACTTCACAGACTCTTCAAGTGCGGAGTTGTGTTAAACGTTGGCTAACGCAGCTAAAGTTATAGCTATAATGCTAGTGTTACACCTGATGTGAAAGCTACTGAGCAAACGTTCAAATTGTTTGGCCAATTTTTATATAAAATCGAGTTGAAATATGGTTATTTTTGTAGTGGTTTATGGTAAGATGTGGAACAATGATGCGTGGTTGTGGACTTGTGAGTAACTTATACCATCTGCTAGATTACTGCTAGGACCCGCCCTTCTCTGCTTCTGATTGGCTAGTAGTCCTTACCTGGGAACTGTGCATGTGCAACTCCCTACAAAGATTTTGTACAAGTAAGATGCATCACTCTGTAGCTCAAGAGTGGAGCGTACAACACACAGGGTAAAAAGAGGAGCTGCAGCAATGTGTAGTATGAGGAAAAATATGGTGTTTTTTGAAAATTAAACCATGTAAACCTGTTCTGGTACAACCCCTAAATAAGATTTCGAACCTGAAAATGAGCATAATACCACCTCTTTAATACAGGTAATGAGTGGAGAACAGGAGGGCTTCTTCAAGAAGAACTAACAGATCTGTGAGAGCCAGAATTCTTACTGGTTGGTAGGTGATCAAATACTTACTGTATGTCATGCAATAAAATGTAAATTAATTATTTAAAATTCATAACATGCAATTTTCTGGATTTGTTTTAGATTCTGTCTCTCACAGTTGAAGTGTACCTATGATAAAAATTACAGACCTCTACATGCTTTGTTAGTAGGAAAATCTGCAAAATCAGCAGATTACTTGTTCTACCCACTGTAACAACACATAATGCTGTGAACTGTGGATGCTGTAAACTCACAAGGACATGACAACCACATACACAATTTTCATATAAAATTGCTTTAACATTTATTTCCTGGAACAAAACAACAACTTTTATCTTAAGGCACTTAACAGTTTTTCCACATGATTACACTATACCTTAAGCAGGTTTGACTGGCATGTAACACACTCATGTACTAGGCAGAAAAGACTGTGGCCTCCGTGGCCAACAGATAGAAGTTCCTTTTATGGATCAAGACATTCAGTAAGGACTCTCCTGACCCTTTCCCCTTCTGCTGTGATGCTCTGAAATAAGTCTGTGTCTGGCTGGTTGTCCTTGTCACGCTGAATTGCCTCATTGACTGTGTTCTTGTCCATCGTCTCCTTGGTTGCCTCACAGTAGTTATGGAGCACAAAACAGGAATAGATGATGTGTTTTAAATCTTGCTTTCAGTCTGCCAAAGGCACATTCAATAACCATTCTGGCTTGACATAAGGAGAGTCAAAATACTGTTCCTGAACAGTGCTTCCTCCATTTGCATACTGCTTCATCAGGTAGGGAAGCAAAGGATATGCTGGGTCCCCAAGAAGAAAAATTGGAATGGGCTCCTTTTTCTGAGGAGGGGTTGGTGCCATTTTTTCAGCATTGAATTTGCAAATATACGGGCGTCATGGACACTACCTGGCCATTTGACTACGACATCAATAAATTAATATTTGTAGTCACATGTGGCTTATATATTAAGAGAAAACCTCCCCTTTCTGTTCAGGTAATCTATAGCATTTGTAGATGGCTGCTTTATTTCCACATGGGTCCCTTCCATGGCACCAATGCACTGAGGAATGCCATGGGCTCGGTAAAACCCCGCTACAAGTTCCTCTACTTGGGACTCAGTTACAGGTAACTGTATATACACAGGGCCCAAGTGGACAGTAACTGCTTCACATACATGCCTTACGATTTTCGACACCACCTGTCTTGACAATCCTTTGCCGTCTTGCGTAATCTCCCCTCGTCTGCTAAATAGTACAGTGTGCAGGCAACTTTTTTGACAACACTGACAGGCTATCTCATTACAGTTGTCTGTCCTTCAATGTGCGGGCGAAGCAGCTCACTGAAAGTCAACAGCGATGTCCTCGACAAACGAAAAGTCTCTCTCCATTCTTCAGCAACAACCACTTCGTTCTCAAAGCTGTCCCACCAACTAGAGGTCCGACCGGGTCTTGTCCAAAACCAGCGACGGTGGCGGCGGGGTCTGTGTCATGGGAGTATTGTCATTAGCAGTGCCCTGCGTAGTATTGCATTCTGACGCCTCTGTTCCACAATATAGTGGCAGAACTGAGCATGTATCTGTATACATGTTATAAGCCCTGTTAGCACAGTTATTAGGAGCAATATTTTGACTACGTCCACCATTGCACATAATCATCAACAAAGCAGTCAGCGGCGCACACTGACGTCAAACACAGCGGATAAGGCCCACACTCCGACGTCACAAGGCAAAACCCCCGGTTTTACTGTATACGCGACAACACTGCAACCAGCATTTCTGAAAATCCTCACCCTGGCAGAGGTTTTCGAAAGTCCCGGTTATGAAAATACCCGTGTTCGTGTAGACAGGGTCTAGGAAAACACTGATGACAACTGGCATGAATCAGCACTCCCTGGTCCACTGACTGCAATAGTCACAGGTATTTACGTTGGTCGAGACACAGCAGGAAAAAGGGCAAACTCGTCTACTGACAAGGAAAAAAGAGAAACAACTATTTTTTGCGGGGTTACCTGTATTTAAAAAACCCCGCATTTAACAAACCTGCATTGCAATGTAACGTTACTCATGCATTTCAGCAAATAACAGCTAATCTAGCTAGTTGCTAATGTTAACTTCTCACCTGCTGCACTATTCGCTGTTTTCTCACCATCAGACCGATAACGCTCCCGACTTTGTGTGTGAGGCCACATTGACAGTAATGTTAGAACTTTTTCATCAAATTGAAGTTATGGCATTATAAATTATAGTCCCAGCCATTTCAAACCCTCCCTCCAGGGAGGCATACACTCCTCAATCCATAATCCTAAATGACCATATGCCCAAACCTGAATGGATTTTCCAAAATCCTTTCCTAAATCCAAAATTCCCAGTCCTAATTCTCAAATGACCAATCCTAGACCCTAAATTCTAAATACCAAATGCCATCAATTTTTGATTTGGACTTTTAGTTTTAATACTGACCAAATAATCCCTCCATAAAAGATGTAGACTAAAGGCAGTAGAACAAAACCGTAAACACATTGCCCGTGTTTACTAACTCAGCTGGTCTATGATGTTTTTTATAGCAAAGGACACCAAAGGGACGAGATCTTTGAAAAGATCAAACGTTGGTGAGTGTAGCTTTTTCTGGATGGAGTGCAGCTCTGTACTGTTATAATACTAGTCTACAGTAAATTTCACTTTTTAGCTTAGTTAAAGCAGCAATAATGTATGTTTTTAGCCAACTGCAGCACAAAAAGCTTTAAACACAATTGTACCAATAAAGTTTGATTAGGATCAGTGTGGATCTCAACTCATCAGGACCCTGAAACCAAACCAGCTAAATGGAATTCAGCCATCATTCATTTTATTATTTACACCTGTGATTTTCCTGTGACTTATGTATAAAGAAGCCTACTACAGCAATAATAAACCACACTTTTCTTTTAACCATTTCAAGGCTAAAATGTAACCAGAGTCATATGACTACACTTCAAGCTTGGGAGCCAAAACACAGTGCCTCTATAGTATAGTAAACACACATACAGCTGGGCAATAAAATGAGTAGTATTTATAAAATATAGAAACAGCGTGTAGAACAGTTCAGTGTTTGTCACTATAAAATATTCTGATAGGAACAGCATGTGTGCTATTTGGAAGAATAATCATAATATGTGAGCTCTATATTCACGTCCTCATTTTGTCTCCCCTCTTAATGGATCTCTTGTTTCTTTTTCCCAATCGTGTCTGACAGATTTATTAGACACACTGTATCGGAAGACTTGGCTTGTCATTCACTATAAAATGATTACTGAATCATTTTGCTGCCTCATAGAGACTGAGTAGGACAGGTAGCTGTTGCACCTTTCAGTGAACATGCAGGGAGACACTTGGAAAAGTGAAACTTGCTGCTTCTATGAACACGTGTAAAATGAAGAGTTAAATGTCTTTCTGGACTTTTTACAGGAAATATATTTTTCCAGCGGCTTAATGTATTTTTTTATGCATGTAACTCTAATGACCCCCCCCCCCCTCACACACACACACACACACACAAAAGCACGACCAAAATAGCTTAGGAGACTGAGATGGACGTGTGGGCATGTGTGTGACGCAGATAAAGAAACGCAACGGCAGTGTGAAAGAAAGAGAGAGCAGGCAGGAGCTTGGGGATGACAGAAGCCTGCAACGGTATCTCACAGCTATCTTTTACAAGAGCAGAATCATGGTGCATTTTTCTCTGTGATAGCAAGGCAGCAACAGTGATCAACACATTTATTGAATCTCACAAAAAACCCTGCCAAATCTCCTATTACAATGCATAGCTTTTATTTGTGACAGAAATAGTGTGTTGTTAATTCAAATGAGAAGCAATACATCCAAAGAGTTGGAATGAACAAGTTCTTTTAATTGTGTTTATAAACAGGACGTTGTCACAATGATGGAAAGACCTACCATACAAACATATGAAGCATTGAAAAAAGTAGCATGGGCAATCATATGCCTTTAGAACAGGGTCTGTTCTACTTGTCTGCAAGTGTGTAATGCATCCTGAAGCTTTCAGCATGTTGCTGGACATTTACAGAACCTCCCATTGTTCTTCAAAAGGTGTTGACATCTAGTAACTGGGTCCTGGATCCTGGTCATGTGATACAGCCGCATATCTCATAATTGTCCTCCAAACAGCCGGAAGGGGGCTCAGTTGGAATCACACCCATCTGGATGGAGAAAAAAGGCAATAAATCTGGCATTACTTTCAGTAGACACATGTTGTGCTTACAGTAATGTCTCTGTCTAAACAATCTGCATTATAATCCAAACTCCCACTGCATTTTAGATGCTGTTTGATGCTCTACAAGCATGTGTCTTCTGATGGGGTTTTATCCTTTTCTACTTTGTCATTAGTGAATCATTTACATGTTTGCATTTTCTGGGTAAGTTTGGTAGGACTTCCAAGAATAACAATCTTTTTTTCACTGTGTGTCTTGGAAACCAGATGTTGCACCAAAGCAAATAAGTTTCTGGTAAAAGCAGAAATAAAATGTAAATTGTTAAGCTATGAGTAGAGGAAAAGTCAGCTAGCAGCTAGGCTAATTTATGCAGTGTAAAATGCCATAAGCTTAAGCTAATAACGGTGACTAGCAATTTGCAGGGGGGGGCTGTAAAGGAAAGGATGCGCTGGATTTTCAACACAAGACACAAGTGTCATTGCGAAACAGCATGTGCACAATAAGCGTTTTAATTTGATGAACTTGTTTTTATAATCGTTTAAAACCAAAATCGAAATCGTGATTAAATTTTCATTAATTGCACAGCCCTATTTTCAACCATGTGGATATACCCCCAAAATGTTATCACATATGATAAATTGTATGTAAATGCTACATTTAGAAACAATAAGAGAGTGTTTTTTATGGGACAAGGCACTGTGTTTTCAGTCTCCAAGTTTCTTCTGTCCTGATGTCAATGGGTCATGATTTTGTTGAGTGTTGGCAGGACCTCCCTTGTGGTGAAGGAGTAGCAAGCCGATGGGCCTGGTGGATGGATTTGCTGTCTGGTTTGACCATGTCCTGGACGGTCTGGATGAGTTGCAGAGGTCAGATGGCACATGCAGGCACACCAAACAGGAGCAAGTTGCAGTAGTCTAGGTGAGGGATGATAAGATCTTGGACCAGAACCTGCACTGCTGGGTGAGAAACAGATGTATCCTTGTGTAATTTACCTGTGCATGAAGAACAAGATGGCGCCGCAGATGGCAGCCTCTGGATTACGTTCTGTAGTGCGTTTGTTTATTGATGCTGTTTTCTGCCGTCCCTCTCTGGTAAATGTTATCAGAGAGCTCTTAAATATTGGACTTTCAACTGCTCATACTATTCCACTGCTCCTTAACGAAACCCGGAACTTTCCCAGAGTTATTAGTTGGAGGAGCAGCAGCTCTGTTTGGGATCCTTTGGAAACGGCGTAGGGGAAAACGAGCAGGCGCGCTGGTTAAACTGAGACAGCAGGGTTTTCGCACTGCACTCCCTTCAATTCACCTGGCAAAGGTCCGCTCTCTAGCCAACAAAATGGACGAACTGCTTCTCCTCAACAGTACTAACTCGGACTTCTGCAGATCTGCCATCTTCTGGTGCACTGAATCCTGGCTCACCGAGCACACCCCAGATTTTATCTCATCCGCGTGGATCGCGAAAGGGAGCTCACGGGAAAAACAAGGAGAGGCGGACTCTGTTTCTATATAAATGAAGGTTGGTGCACAGATGTCACAGTGTTGGAAAAATCATGCAGCCCTTGTCGTGTGTGTCTGCATGTGTGATATGGGTGGGGTGTTCAAGCTGGTTTCCGGTGGCGCTCCACACCTGAGGCTCGTCTCCATAATCAACCGCAGCAATAAAAGACCCGGCTCAACTCCCAGTCAGCGCCAGATCGTCCGTTTACCCACCTGTGGTAACTAGCACTAAGGCCAACTCTAGCTTTTGAAGAAAGAGTTTGTTAATCTAGTCTGTGACCTCACTGATTGCTTTTGTTTTCTGCCTTCCCTCCCAGATCTCTGCCCAGGGAACTTGGAGCTTGGTTTCCCCCATCCTGCCCGATCTCTGCCTCTAAATCACACCACCCACCTTTGCTATTCCTGAACCTGTTAATAAACTGTAATTGTGGAAACTAACCTTCCTTGAGTCCACTTTTGGATCCTTGCAACTGCACGTAACAGCCCTCACTTACAGACATTATTTATAAACTGTAAATGTGGCACAATGACCCACGCATCAAACAGGATCATTTCTGTGATGTACTATAAGTTAAGAGTGTTTAATATGTTTCCTTATGTCTCATGCATTCATGTGAAGGAAGTGTTATTTTAGTGAGGAATTACAGTCCTGTGTTAGTCATTGCCAGTGTCCCGGTTAGGCAACAGTATCAGTTAATGGCCAGTAGGTGTCAGTGTCGCTACACGAGTGGACAATCAACCTAAAGTGATATTTTTGCATATTGCAGGTAAGCTGGTTAATGTTAACTAACTGTACCGGGGTAGGGCAATGTTTAGACATGTTCTTTCAGTGTTTATTAGCGATTGTAGTAACTTTGTAATCTGCTCGGTTAGCAGCTAAGTAAATGTTGATGCCGTCATTACCGTAACATTAGTGATAGGAGGAGTACCGGGGGGTAGTAGCCTTGATAGTGAGCCCCCGTAGATAGTACAAATGTTAGCATGTTGCTATCACTGTTTGTGTAACATTGTAATAGTCACCTATGCTGTCTTCAGGTACAGCTTTTAATGTGTTGGTAAACCTTCTTTAGGTGTATTGGCTGTGCCTTCACGTGAAAAAAAGCAACTGTATATCAGAAGCCTGTGGTGTATCACGGATTGTTATAAGAACCTTTATGTATTTTTTTCCCCCACTCATTATTGTTTTACCACAGGGTGGGTTTTAAAAGGAGAGTGGAAGTGACGTTTGGGGGGGAACTCTAGAGTGCAACAGGTGAAGCAGTCAGCGTTTAGTGGGCTCTGTGTAAGGTTTGCCAGACGTACTCAACAAAGGAACTTTTGTTGCTGGATCATATGCTTGGACTTTTCTGGACTACTACATCATCCCATCAGCTAAACAGGCTGGGTCGAGGTTGCGTAAGTTAACTGTGGAATATTGTTGACTGCGGCGGCTTGCTACGCTACACCTGGTATCTTTTTTGTTTTTTCCTTCTTCTTACCGGAGGACAACTGGTTCCATCCGGACAATTTAAGTTATTGGAATGAACATGTGAACTGCTGGGGCATTGGGGGTTTTTGGAGGGTGAATTGAATGTATGTTGGAAATGGTGATAATGTCTGTAATGTTGGTTTGATGTGTTGAAGCGCGGCCGAGCCTCCAGTGACTAATATCTGTGAGGGTTGCCCGCCGTGGTATAACCTGGTATATCTTTAAATACAAGCTGTGAAACCCATCCTATGGACTTTTTTCGTTAATATAATTTTTTAAGTGTGTACAGGTGCAAGTTAGTTGCTTATCTGATTTAGGTAGGGCTTGTTCAACGAAGGTAAGCAGGCTGCCGATTGTAATCTCCTAGGCAGGTATCAGATCCGCCCCTAACCTTATCTTTTGCGTATGTACGTTCCCCTTGCTGTTTTCGTGTAAGGCGAATTGTTACAACATTACATGTCAATATTAAAATAGGTTTTGGACTTTATAGAAATGAACAACACAAATTACTATCAGAAGAGTTTAAGAAGAGGTGTAATGTTATATTTTGTGTTTTTTGAATATTGTCATTTGTCATTGTTTATTTAATGAAGTCAGATAATGAGATTCTCTGTGTATAAGACGTAAACAGAAAATGCTGAGATTGTCAACCTAAAGTGATATTTTTGCATATTACAGAAAAAAATCTTCATTAAATGTGTAGCACCAGACTGAGCCTTTGAGACATCATTCTGCGCCCCGCTACATAAACATTTTTATTCACCGTGGAAGTTTTCCGCGTTTGTCCTGGTTGCTGTTTACATTCCACCTCAGGCCTGTGTTAGTGAGGTGTTACTACACCTGGCCGACCAGATAACTAACGTGGAGAAAAAACATCCAGACTCCCTGCTCATTGTTCTTGGGGACTTCAATAGAGCAAACCTCAGCCACGATCTCCCAAAGTACAGACAGCATATTAAGTGTCCCACCAGGGACACTAACACACTGGACCACTGCTACACTACATTAAAGGACACACTGCCACCCCCCTTCTCTGACCTCTCACCTGCACTCGAGATCTGTGAAGAGGACGTGAGACACCTCTTCCAAAGACAGAAGATCAGGAAGGCTCCTGGTGCAGACGGTGTGTCTCCATCCTGCCTGCAAATCTGTGCAGACCAGCAGGCCCCCATCTTCACACAGATCTTCAACAGATAACTGGAGCTATGTGAAGTTCCCTTCTGCTTCAAACTCTCCACAATCATCCCGGTCCCCAAAAAACCCTCCATCTCTGGACTAAATGACTACAGGCCTGTCGCCCTGACATCTGTAGTCATGAAGTCCTTTGAAAGACTGGTGTTGGCCCATCTGAAGGACATTACAGGCCCCTTGCTGGACCCCCTGCAGTTTGCCTACAGGGCTAACAGGTCAGTGGATGATGCTGTCAACTTGGGTCTGCATCACATCCTGCAACACCTCGACTCTCCAGGGACATATGCTAGGATCCTGTTCGTGGACTTCAGCTCGGCGTTCAACACCATCATCCCGGACATCCTCAGCACAAAACTGTGGAGATGATTGTCGACTTCAGGAGGAGGCCCCCCACTCTGCCCCCCATCAACAAACTCAACAGCCCTGTGCCTGCTGTGGAATCCTTCAGGTTTCTGGTATCCACTATTTCCCAGGACCTGAAGTGGGAGCCCAACGCTCATTAAGAAGGCCCAGCAGAGGATTACTTCCTACGCCAGTCTGTCCTCTGCACCTCCATCACTGTCTGGTTTGGATCTGCCACCACAAAGGACAGGAGCAGACTACAACGGACAGTCAGGACGCAAGAAGAGATCATCAGTGCCGACCTGCCCTCCATTTTGGACTTATACACGAACGGGCAGGAAACATCACTGCAGATCCATCTCACCCCAGACACAACCTGTTCCAGCTTCTCCCCTCTGGGAGGCACTACAGAGCACTGTACGCCAAAACCAACAGACTCAGGAACAGTTTGTTTCCACAAGCCATCACTCTGATGAACAGCTGATTTCTGACTCATGGTGTCATTAAGTCAATTCCTGTGCAATAACCCAGTAACTCTGTCTCTAATCAGCCACCTGTTTACTGGCTAACACTTATTATTTATTCACCATTCTCTATTTCAGTGCTGTTTATACTGTTATATTGTATTATTGCATATAATGTATACCAAGCCACCTACAGTACCTCTAGTCATTACTCCTGCACATAATACTTCTACTTATTTATTCCAGCATCCTTTGCTCTATGCTTCATTGCACTGTGTACATGTGTACATGTGTATGTACTTGTATATCACATCCAACTCCGACATGTACATACTCCTGCATCCTTTGCACTCTGCTCACTGCATTATTTGTGATTATGTCTATATTGTTTTTGTTCATAGTGTGTATATTTGTGTTGTCTACACTTAAGTCTGTGTCTGATTTTATCTTATTTTTATTATTGTGATCTTGTATCTTTGTATGAGCAAGCACATCATGAGCAATGTACAATCCAGAATCAAATCCTGGCAATAAAAGCTGTTTCTGATGTGTGTCTATTATGCTGAGCAGGCTGTGCAAACTCATGCTGTGGATTGGCTGTGTGACTGCCTGGGTTCCTGTGATGGTGATGCTGATTGGTGCGGCATGCTACTGCTGGCCAATCGAGGAGCTCCAGCAAAGTCTGCTTCCAGCCTAAATAGCCTGCTTTAGTTCGGACCATGGTGCGGACGCCCCTTAAGTCTAAAGCAATCAAACTTATTTTCACAGCTAGTGGAGTCGCCCCCTGCTGGCTATTAGAAAGAATGCAGATTTAAGGCACTTCAGCATTGGCTTCACTTTTCAGACCTGGAAGTTCATTCATTCTTGGTTCCCTATCAGAGGAAACCCAAGACATTAGTAGAACATTCAAACTCCACACAGTAAGGCCCCACAAGGGCCCAGCAAATTCAAACCTAAGACCAACAGCACTAACCACTGAGCCATTGTATAGAACTTGTATAGAACTGTCAGGAAATATGGTGACAGATGCCAAGGTTAGTTGGTGAAATAAGTGAGCTGTTGAACCAGAAAATACCTTATATTATTCAATGCTTTTATCCTTCTTT